TAATGTTACTTGCTATTGTTGTGGTGCAAATGGACACTTTGCTTACGTATGTCCTTTGAAGAGATTGATAGCTCAAGGTAAAGTGAAGCAAATTTGGGTTCCAAAAAGGAACTTTAAGCACTAACCCCCATGGACCCAAGCAAATTTGGGTACCAAAAATCAAAACTTAATTTTGTTTTGTAGGAAAAGTTGATGGCAAAGTCATAAGAAGAGTAAAGTTGATCTTAATAAAGACTTATGCCTCAACAAGAATGTTGGAGTGAAAGTGCAAAGACAATTTGTTTTTGAATGCTCCACTCATGTGCTCAAATTGGTATCATTTATCCTATTGCATTTATTCATTAAGTATAATCACATTAGCATGACTATTAATTATTGGTTTATGTGTGTTCACTCTTTGATATATATGCTTGTTGAATATGATATCATTTGATGTGATTATTAAAATTTATGCAAATTAATGAGCTTGGCATATTAGATCCTCGTGCTTGATATGGCTTTTGAAATTAATGTATTTGTTTATTAGAATTTGTGTATATTGATGCTTTGATTTGTGTACCTTGATTATATTCATGCTATTTGATGACGCATACATTGATATATGACTAAAGTTGCATAATTTAGTAGTTGATGTTCAATTCAAACTTGGTTAAATGAAGGACTATCAAATTAGGTACACTCCCTTCAAAACAGCCCCAAACTTTCTGTTTGTCCCAATCAAGGCCAGTAGAGCCGGCTCAACAAAATCTGCAGTCGGCTCAACCCAAAACCCGAGAGTTTTCTCTCTCTAAGATTGAGCCGGCTCCAAGACTAAAGCCAGCTCTCCGTCAGTGTTTAAATCTTTTGGGCCTCTCTCTCTTCACATCAGATCTGGCATTTTTCGGACCTCTCTCTCCCAAAACTTGCCATTCACTCTCCCAAACACCAAAATCCCTCAAAATCTACCAAAACTCATCCCTCAAATACTCAAATATCTTCAAATCCTTACACAAATCCACAAGCTTTTTGCTCCAATTTGGTTGGGTTTTGCTGAGTTCTCTCTCTCATGGCTTCAAGAAGGGGCGGAAGCAAAAGGAAACAGATTGGGAGTTCTAGTGCCGGTGGCCAAGCACAGGAAGAAGGTAACCTCGTTGATAATGCTTTGTTTGTGGATGATGATGCCATTAATCACTATAATTTTGTCAAAAACTTGGCTGTGCTACCATGCAATTGTGTGAAGTTTAGTCAATTTCCTCAATGAGATATGCTTGTTGAATAGATATTTAAAGATATTGGGTGGATAAATTATTTAGAAATTAAGGAGCCTGTGTATCATGAAGTAGTTCATCAGTTTTTTGCTAATTTGAAACCAAAAAAGAATACATGTCGCACCATGGTTTCTGGGATATCATTTCAGTTTTCACCAAGAGAAATTTGTGCTACATTAGAAATACATGAAGGAGGAGATGATCAGTTTGAAGGTGTAAATATATCTGAAGTTAGAGCCACAATTGCCCCAAATTGTACTGTTAGACAAATTAATGTGGGATTCCTTACACCAGAACATAGAGCATTGCAGTGGATTATTAGTCACATTCTTGCTCAGAGAAAGGGTTCCAAATCTATTGTACTTAGTGGTGATCTCTTATGGTTTGATTATCTT